TCTCCAGCTTGGCGCCTCGGTCTTCCTCCACGTGGCGGCCTTCTTTCTTCGCGATGGCGATCTTCCTCGATGATCGTCCTCCCCCACGGCGATGGCGGTCTTAGTGGCAGCGCGAATGGCAAGCGTTGTCTCAACCTTACTGTCATCTTCACCCCAGAGCTACACGTGGCATGCAATCTGAACAAGTGTCCTCGCAGGGACCTACCACAGCGTGGCACCGAACCGCTTAACAAATAAAATTAAATATACGGTCCAGATTTATCAGTAAGCAGTCAAACGGTGACAGCAGATAGTTTCAGACCCCTGCAAACAATTCTAGTCCCACTTTTGACTAGTCTGAAATAGATGCGTGCAGCAAGAATAAACAACTACTCTATCTGGAACAGTCTGTTAGCTGTTAGCAGTCCGTCACAGCTAACTAAAAAAAAAAATAAAAAAAAAATCATTTGCTGAAATGCATACTGAATGGAAATATTACAATATTGAAAAATCGAGCAATTACTGGAATCTTCCCTCCCCCTATATCCCTCTTGAGTAGTCACGTTGTGTCGACGTCCTGTAGCTCTGGTTCAACGGCGTGTCTAAAGGTGTGCAATCGGCCCACCCCTGTGCCCCAAGTCAGTACAAGACCGGCAAGCCCCGTCCGTACCATTTTATACTCGCATACAGCACAAGTCGTATATCCCCGCCGGAGTCACTTTATAGACGGCCCGGTACTCGTCTCTCCCTCATAGGCCTGGCCTGCCCGACATGACCTCTACAGCGCAGCAAGCAGACCAAAGGACAAGAGGCAAAGCATGCATGTACTAGTCGCAGTGGGTTGGCATGGTGACCGTGACCCGAGTGCTTCGTCCAGGGCCCTTCAGAGGCAACGCGCATCTCCCACCAGCTTGCTCCCCAAGAAGAATGTCGACTCTCAAGGTTGAGCGGTCGCGACACCTCACAATCAGAGGGCACTCAAGACAAGACTCACTTCCTCATGCTAAGAAGCAACAAAAGGGGTAGATAAGGTAACAAGCACCGTACCTCAGAATGCTGGCCCCAACCACAGATTTCTCACCAGTAACCTGACGTTCATTTATGATAACCGGTCGATGCCTCGGTACAACCCACAATACAATGCAGTTCCACCTCGGCTCAAATGCTACGTCAGCAAGCTCTAATCATCCAGTGTGCACCCCCTATGTCACCACATAGCCTTCCAGGCATGCCCCTCTCGACTCAGGGCCGCCTATACACCAACGCACAAGCGTTTCCACTGCCTCGCCATATCCCAACAAAGCACCAAATAGCTATTGTGAAGGAGCCAGCGGAGCGGCTCGAACCAGCTCTGATACCAAATTGCATGGAAAATGAGTGACAGCAAAATGACAGAAATCCAGAGTGCAAAATCATATTGAAAGCCAGCAAGTCCAACGCCATCCAGAAAGCAGAAATGCACTGATATTACACCAACGGAGAACCGAAGCACCGAATCCGAATGTCAATGAGAGCATACTCTCGCCACCACCAACATATATATCCAGAGTCCTTCCTGCTACTTGGCACTCACCGCCCAGACTACGGTCACACAGCTACTAGCAGCCTACTGAAATACATGAAGATGTCAACCCTCTATGTTACGGACTCCGCAGAGCTCGATTATACAATTTCCTTGTTTTTTTTAAAAAATTTCAGACAGTTGGCGCCATCTGCATTCTGGCGCCTGTTTTCAAAATCCTTCTTTCGGGACTTTCGGATTTCGGACGCTCGGCGCCCTCCGACATTCTGGCGCCCACTCTCAGACTTTCAATTTTCAGTACTGGCCCTGAGGCATTTGCACTTTCGCCCTCAGGACCGTACCTGAGTCCGGTGCTTATGTCCGGACTCAAGCCCAGTACGGGCACCAAATTTTCAGCCTCAGTGCTTGTGTTCAGTGTGACTAGCTTCGACATTGCGTTCGGGAATTCAAGACTGCGACTTTGCGACTTCGCCACTTTGCCACTTGGTGTCTGCGTCCATCGAATTGTGTCGAGTCTGCGTCGAGTTGAGTGAGCGTGTGTGTGTGCTCTCACTCCCCCTCCCTATCCCAGCCTCGCTGCTCTGCCTCTGCCTCGTCACACTGTAGACCATCGCCAAGGCGAGGTTATGTGCCCTCACATCATCATCCTCGTCTCTCTCTCTCTCTCTCTCTCTCTCTCTCTCTCTCTCTCTCTCTCTCTCTCTCTCTCTCTCTCTCTCCCTCCCTCTCTCTCTCTCCCTCTCTCTCTCTCTCTCGTGTCTTGTCTACCCACGTCTTCCTTCCCATACAGGAAGACCACCACCACCTCCACTGGCTATCCAAGCCAAGCCCTGGCTATGTCGGGCTGGCTATGACGCTGCCCTCAGCAAAGCCCTGTCTTCTTCCTCAATGCCCGCGCACGCCCGGCATCCGCTAATGCACAGCAAGCAGCCCGCGAGCACACACTCCAGCAGCACTGCCGCTTGCACAAACCAGTGGCGAGCTCTTTCCTTTATGGAAAGTGCTCGCCCAGTTTGCTGTCTGGCTGGGCCTCGTCTGTTTCCAGTAGCTTCCGTTTGGGCCAAAGTGTTTGCGCCCAGGCCCATTCAGACAGTGGCCTGAGAGCGAATTGGTTGCGCCGGCCCAACCACCAAGGAGTCAACGTGAGGTTCTCCCTGCTTCGCCGGTACCGCTGGAAGAGCCTAGAAGGCTCACAAATTATTTCTGATTCTCACGAGTACGGAGGATGTAACCAACTGGCATGTGGCAACTGTCTGGTGCCCACCAGACTTTGCCAAAATTGACGAACTGAGGCCATATTGAAATTCAGGGGCACGCATTCACTTAGGGCGGGCTCATGCTTGCTGAAAGGGCCCCGCAGGGGCATGCCGAGGAGCTAACTCGTACCAAGGCCTCGTCGAAGATCCATGCCCACACAGGGGTTCAAACAGGCTCTGCTTGGGCCCCTCAGCCTGGTCTCCTAGGCCTATAAACAGGCAGTTGCACATACTTGCAGGCCCGCCTTCACTTAGAGCGGGCGCGGCCTTTCAGACACTGCCAAGGGACTAAACCCTCGCAAAAGGAAATAAACACCAATAATGGGTCAAAGTCGTTGGGCACACCATCCCTAGTTTCCACGAGCGAAAGAAAGGTCAGGGAAGTGGGGCACAGAATTGGCTACCTTGAGTTCCACAGACACTAGGTATGCTGCTTCTGTAAAGAACGCCAGAAGCGTTTATGAGCAATGCTACCCAGGATGGAGGGCAGGTCAAAAATGCACAAGCTGGTATATATTGTCACATAAAAGATGCGCAAGTTGGTATATATGGTCATGTTGTAAGGCCGTCGCAAAAAGATAAAAGAATAAAGAAAAAAAAGTTGTGTACTTCGCCATTTGGTGCCACATTACATCTGCAATCCCGTGTTCCCAATGGTATATGGTACATAAAATCAACATGATCACTGGCATTCATATGGATCACCCAAATCTCCCTCTCTATCATTGCAGTTATGTCCCTGAAGTACAACACCGAATGTTTTCTGTGCAAAGCAGGTGCAGCTTATGCCACCATATTCACAGTCAGAAGAGTCATTCCAAAGTGGAATGGATTTAAGCCATGATGCCTGTTAAAATTGCTGACACATCACAACAGCGGTCAAGTGGCGGGACAATCATCTCAGCAACTGGGACAGAAGCATTCCATGTCAGATGGAAGTCGCATGCACCTTGAGACACACAAGGCATACCTGTTGTTACCGGCAAGGCGTTGCTATTTGTCCCACTGAGCATAGATGCATGCATCATTCAAGCACACCACTGTGTGATAGCACTAACAATGGAACACCAAGTGCAATCAGACTCACTTTCTTCTTCGCTTCGCACGCATACAAACAGATGGTGATTAACACTGGCGCATAGCGCCCAACTCAAAGCTCAGAGATATGGAAACCAAGAACACAGTTCGGATGCAAACTCGCTTCAACAGGCTATGGTGCACCAACACCTATACATCCCAACTCTCGTCACTGTGTCCAACACCACTGTTCGCTCACACTTCAACTCTGGATCACCCATGATATCCCCACACGCAACCCACTGTACACTCGCACACTCGCACACACCACTCTCTCTCCTATCAGCTATGGCGGCTATGGCCGCTGCCTACCCTATCGCTATGGCTAGGCTTCCTTCTCGCCCACTTCGTCTTTGGGCCTACCGCAGACCACCTCGCACAAGTCGCTGTAGCAGCGCTTCCGCATGGCTTACGCAGGAATGAATGCATGGCTGGGCGCTGCCTCTTGATTTATACTTCTGTGACTCGTTGGTCTGCCCCTCTCCACCAGGCCTATGGTGCACACAGTCCCTCATGGTACTTGCTTGCCTGGACTGGGACTGCTGGACCGGTACCGCTGACTGCATGGGTTTGCACTGCCAGTCGCACTGCCGACGTAATGCAGCTGGGCTCACCACTTGCCCACTTGCCTCTGACTAAAACGTGAGGCAGCTTCGAAAGGCCACTTCCGGACCTTCCGGAAGTCTGTGGACTTGGCCTTTCGAGTACTGTAGCAGCTACGACCTTGACCTTTCAGGACTGTAGCAGCTACGACCTTGACCTTTCAGGACTGTAGCAGCTACGACCTTGACCTTTCAGGATGCCTACAGCTACGACCTCTACAGGGCTGTGACTCCTACTTGACAGATCTACAGATCGAACCCCTACCATTACACAGACCTACGACAGACAACAACAACTCTCAAAACACAGGTCACGGGTTCAAACACTCGGGGTCGACACTGATACTGTACACAGGTAAAGTGAGGACTAGGGATCGAGCCCTGGGACCTGCATCCGCTACCGCTAACAGGTGAATACCGTTTCACAAGCAGCACTGCAACCCTAACAAAACTCGAGCATGAATGAGCATTCAAACTCAATCAAACTGGCAACTTCTTGAAAAACAATGGAGCGCTGCGATCAGACAAACCATACTGATAACTGAATCGATCTGATTCTCATACCTTTGAAATTTCTCCTCAGAAACTGTCAGCTTCGTGAGTAAATCCTTGACCATTACCTCTTTCCTTTTTAAAGCATCCTGAGCACATCAATTCACACAGAAGTACTTGATAAAATCATAAAATGTCCAATGAGGGACGTGAAAACGGAGGAAAAGGGACATTACCAACGATAATGTTGTCCACGTGCACGAAGACAAAAATAGACAGCCTATAAATTTCGTTGTGCTTCAATTTGAGCTAGTTTCCAAAGCACCATCCCTGACACCAAATCACCCTCCTAAACATGAATCGAACTCCCATAACAGACTCCCACAGTGCTCAACAAGTGGATATGAAGCCCATTCACAAGAAGGGTGAGACAACATAGCACACAAAAGCAAATGAAGTTTAATGAACAACGCCAATGCAACAGGCTGCGCACACCAGGTTGCTCTTTTCTTAAAGTGTCACCGGAGCACGCTTATGAGCATGAGAGAGAGAGAGAGAGCAAGGGAGCGAAAAAGAGAAATGAGGCAGATAAAGAGAGAGAGAGAGGAAAGGGGAGGAGGGGGGGAGGGGTGGGGGCGGGAAAGGGCAGTGATTGATCTGTTTAAGTATCTGCCTTTTTCTTAGTAATTGCGCTGTTTCTGTTTTTCCTTTCCATATTTGCATTCGAACTGGGGGAAAAGAGAAAGAGAGAGAGAAATCCTACACCTTCCCACCCTTATCTCCTGCAATGTCCCCCCCCCTCCTCCCCCTTCCTGCCCGCTATCGCCTCCCGCATGAAAACGGGAGAGATGGTTAACGGAGACCTAAATTTTCAGACAACTTGTCATGCCATTTATAACAAAACTGAAGAGTCGTTTTATCCAAACTTGCCAGCAATTCATAGGGCGGAGACCATACTTAACCTATGTTGCACGCCCGGCCACGGCCGGGGGGTCCGAATCGGCCGCGGCCTTGGCCGATGGCCGAATCGGCTCGGTTCGGCCTAGGCCGACCAGCCGAGTTGCGTGCAGGATTTTTTTTATTTTTTTTTACGCATGGAAAAAAAAAAAATGGGCGTGTAGGGCTAAAAAAACCCTACACGCCCATATTTTTTTGGGGGGCATTATTGTTTTCAATTGCGTAACAAAAAATAAAAACAGAAAAAAGAAAAA